ATGATGAATTTGAAAAAAGTAAGTTCTCTTTCCAAATCCATCACCAAAATTTTTATTTCCGGAATGCCTGAACTAACCATAACCTACTAGCCAGTGAAAATGTATGCAATAACGACTGTTCATTTCATGACATTCATTGCATGAAACAATACAGAAGACCCGAAACCTCGCATCATTAAAGATGCCTTCTTCAAATAGCAACCGTTATGGCAAGGGCTGCACAGATTGCGTTGAAATCAAGTGCAACATTGGATCACTCCCGTAAAACAAAGCAAATATAGCGATGGCGACGAGTAAATAAGAATGTAATCCTTCTTAAGGACGGCAATGGTCCACCATACAATGGAAATGGTAGACTAATTTGGACCCAATCGAGCAAAATACAATGAACGAATACTTTAGGAGCAAAGTGAAACAAAGTTGCGAGGAAACTCTTAAATCGCAGCATAAAGGAGGTGAAAGTCAAAGAAACAACGAGCAACTATAATTATGCCGTTGTAGGCAGAAGACAATGCACTCATTCTCCATTCCGGGCTATACATAGGCATTACAAACAAGACATTAAAGCTACCACCGTCATTGAGCAACTGACCAAATCTCGCTAATAGGATTGCTTCAAATCTGGACATTTCTTTTCAATTAATGACTTCAAACAACATTTGATGAATAAAGTTTACTCCAGAACAGCGATCAATAAAGACCTGACAAAAGCCTAGCTACTGCCAAACTAGAGACCAATTGCGAAGAGTGGTGAGGTTGGACAATACATAGAACTTGCGAGATCTTTAAACTGCATGCCAATAGTGGCAATTTACATGTGCTGATTGTAATTAAGCACGCTCCAAGAACAGTATACCTCGAGTTTCCTCATCAGGCCCGTAATTAGCGAAAAATTCGACAGGTCCCGCACCGCCGTCCGAGACACCAAGGGATCGATCAAAGAGGGAGAAGAGGAGCTGTATCACCTCTGTCATCTGACTTCGCACAATCTCGAAGCCTAGCCTGACACCCAAGACATAGATACAGTCAAGGGTCTTGCACAGGAGCGCCAGTCGGCCATGCGATCCGCTGGGAAAGCCGGCATCCAAGCGGCCAACCAAGGTCAGTGCGCCGGTTAGGCAGATGGAGGTGATTGGCTCCTAAGGGAGATACCAATCAATGCTCAGTAAGTCTCCTATGTACTGTGTTACCATGAGTCCAACGTACTTGGAGATGATCCATGAGCTGGGGAGCCGGGAGATAAGTAGCAAATTGGTGAAGAAAGACGAGAGAGGATATTAGACGGGCCTCGCAGTCAAGGTCCCACGAGGATGGTGACGTGGCACCGCTACTGTTACTGTTATTGTTCCCGCTTCGAAGGGTGGAGAGTCCTCTGGCCACCGATGCCTTCACTGAGGGGAGGTAGAGACTGGTGATGACCTTATGAGAAAAAGACGGGTTAATCGGTTCGAGCGACGAAATGAAAGTAATTTCACAGTGTTTTTTTTTATTTTTACAGGTGAATCAAAAAGAAATTTTCACTACAGCATGGGATGGTCACAT